GCTAATCCCTGGCCCAAAATGAACTCAGTGACATCACAGCCTTCTTACTCAGTTCTTACTGACACCATTCCATGCAATTCCTGACTGCTTCCTTAGTTCAAGAAACAGCTTTACAATTACCCTTTCTTCCAAAATCATCAGAACATCAAGGTAACATTGAAGGCTCAGGTGCTGGGCACTTCAACAGCCTCCTAGGCTGGGAAAGCCACACCCTGTGTGTAACTCGTGTAAAATAACATATCTTTTTCTGGCATATCATGGTAAAGTTCATAACAGAGAAAATTCTCGTGATAAGCAATGAATGTTATAAGCAGTGGGTGAGCCTTGCGTATGTACAGTACTAAGAGTCAGTCGAACCATAAGCTGGAGATGTAAAAAGCATAAATTTGAGTAACACATGCTACTGCTTCGTCTTCCAGTGCTCAAATGAAGGAGGAATAGATTGAAGAGCAGGTCTAGGAAGTGCTGGGAGGAGCTACTGGGTCACGTGTGCCAATAGCTGACCTGAAAAGAAAGTGCATGGTCTTGCTCGTCAGGCATTGGTTGGGGGCGGGACTTAATTATAAATTTAACTTGACGAAAATTCAGAATTACAAAGTAGTAAATACTGGTAGAATTAAAAAATAAAATACGTATGAAAATAAAAGGATCATGTGCTGAGATACTATATATTGGCCTAAATAACTAGTATGTGAGAAAACAAAGATATTTTGTAAAGCAAGGTAGTGAGAATTAAGTAGTACAAGGTATTAAATGCAGATGCCGACACTTTTGCGTGTCTTTAAAAAACCTAAAAATAATATTAAAATGCAATTTTATGATGAGAATTTTAATTAAAAACATAGGAAAATGATTCTCAAATGTGAGTACAGCAAGATACAATTAAATTGAGTACCGGAGTACTGCTCCGGGTCTCTTTTTGTTTTCGTCGTCAGTATAATCATAGTTCAATCTGAGAATGAAACTGTTATTGACTTTTCCGATATTGTTAAAGATTTTTTTTGCTATTTTTGCAATGCAAATAGTGATGCTATCAATGTTTAACTCATTATGGATGACCTCGTTTCTGAAAAACCAGGGACTATTGGAAATTCTTCTTAAAGTGATATTCTGGCATTGCTGAATTTTAAGCATGTGAGTTTTACATACATTCTGGCATTGCTGGATTTTAAGCATGTAAGTTTTACATACATAATCCCAGACGGGACAGGCATAAGTAACAATTGGTCGCAGCATGGATCTAAATACATGAAGTTTGTTATGAATATATAAAACAGAGTTTCGGGCAATTAAGTGGTTGAGTAATGCTCTAGTACCCCAAAACTTATTCAAAATATGTGTGATGTGTGGGGCCTAAGTGAGTTTTTGGTCTAAATTGACACCGAGGTATTTAACTTGCTTGGCCCAGGGAATGCTGACATCGTACATCTTGAGGGTGATATTCAGATCGACATTTCCTTTTTTTTGGTGAAGTACACAGCTTCAGATTTTTCTAAGTTCGTTTTAATCTTCCATTTGAGCATCCAGGACTTTAATGCATGGACGTGTTCTTGTAATGTTTGTACGACTGCGGCCATAGATGCGTCTTGGTAGAGGATCGCAGTATCATCTGCATAAAGTGCTAGTGTAGTGAGGAATGTCGTTCGTATAGATTGAAAATAATGTGGGCGAAAGTAAACTTCCTTGAGGCAAGCCTGCGAAAGTTACTTTTCATGTGGAGTGAGTATTGTTATAACGAACGACAAAGTGTCTATCGTAGAGATAGGAATTAATGGTGTTTATGATGTAATCTGGGAAACCCAGAGTGATTAATTTATAGGTGAGGCCCTGTAACCATACACAGTCAAAGGCTTTCGAAATATCGAGGAAGAGGGCTCCTGTGATGAGTCTTTTCTGGAATCCTTCAGCTATCATCTCTGTAACACGATAGAGTTGGTGCGTGGTGGAGTGTTTACTCCTGAACCCATACTGCTGAAGGATGAGGATGTTGTTATCTTTAGGAAGTCTTGTACTCTCTTCAATATGACGGCTTCAGCAATTTTACTTAAGGTCAATAATAAGCTTATCGGTCTGTATGATGTAGCCAGGGTGGGATTCTTTCCTGGTTTTAGGATCGAACCGATGATGGCTGTTTTCCAATTGGTTGGAAAATACTGCAGGCATAGCATGGCGTTCAGGAGTTTGGTGAACGTACATAGCATTTTTACTCCCATCTCCTTGATCATTTTGTTGCTGATCTTAACCAAATCCGGGGCTTTTTCCGTTTTTTTCTCTTCTCGATATAATCTAATAACCTCTGATGGCATAACTAAGGGTGTGTTGTTGTTATGTGTGTGTTTTGTGATTGGAATTGGTGCGATGAGGTGACGTAACTGAAAGTTCTGTTTGGGGATGGTAGAAATGTTGTGAGTGTGAAATTGAGAAGCATAGCGTTGTGATCCTGCAATAGACTCAGCTTTCTCAAAATCAGTGTAAGTGATCCCGTTGGGGCCGTTAATGGGCGGAATATTCGTGTTGCGTGGTTTAAATTTAGAAACCGCACGTTCCACAGTGAATTATCAATCCGTTAGAGAGTGATTCTAAGTGTTCTGGCCCAGTTGAAGGTATTCGTGGTTCATTTCTGTTTTTCTAGTAGAGTCCTGACTTGCTGGTTAAGTTGATTTAATAATGTTTTGTCCATAGGACATCTGAATCACTGCCACTGCTTACGTGCATGATTTCTGCTTCTGATTAGTTCACAGATTCATCAGACACTGTTCTTGTATCGTTTATATGCTCGCATAGTTTTGCTGTTTTTTAGGAGAGCATCATGAAGTTCGTCCGTAAGTTCTTCAGTGAAGGCATCTAAGTCATCCCTCGATTGTATCGTGTGGGTAGGGTACTGTGTGTTGCTGAGAGCTTTGGCATAGCCTGCCCAGTTTGTAATAAGGGCTCTTTTGTGTGATGTACTGTAGAAGTAAGTAGAAATTTCCATCATCACAGGGTTATGGTCTGATGACAATTCTGTCAGACTTTCAACATAACTCGGTTGATGTTTTTTAGGATGAAAAAATCCATAATTGATGGTCTACCTATCCCACAGTGTGTTGGTTTTTTTGGAACTGCAAGATTAATATTGGCTGCTTGGGCAATGTTGTGAATAATGCGTCCGTGTTGATTAATATCCCAGCAGTTCCACTCACGGTGGTGTACGTTGAAATCTCCACCTTATAATGACTCGATTGTTAGTGTTTAATAATGTTTGCAAATTTGCCTTGACAGAATTTGTAGGTGAGTGTATAGGAAAATAGGTGGAGATAATTGTGATTGGTCGTGAGGTGTTTGGCGTGAGTGTAATAGCTAGGGCTTCAATAGCTAAAAGCTGTGGTAATGGAGTGACATAATGAGGGTAACATTGAAATGCAATATAAATAATGTTTTTAGGGAATATTTCGACTGCTAAAGTAAATATGTCTATGCAGAAGAACAGTAATTCTAACACTGATTCTTTTATGTCCTATACACTGTTTGTATAAACATATATAAGGCAGACTCTGAAATACAATCTACCATAGTGGAAGTTTTAAGATAAATCTCATCCATGTCACACTGAATATGGTGCGAATTACAAAAAATACATGTAGTCAATTTATTTGGTAGCCAAAATGCATCATACATAACATTTAACTGAATGGATCCATTTAATGTAACATTAAAAATATACTAGAACATAAGGATAAGCAACTTTTCTGCATGCACTGAGAAAATACACTAAATGAAGACAGATAACCTAATTCAGTTAGAATAACAAATTAAAGCTACAGTAGTCATTTTTTGCAGAAAAGTTACATACAGGAATTGAGTGCAGGTGAAGGGTGGATGAAAGGTACTAACTAACCAATTCAATTTGAGTGACATACTTATTCTCCAGGTTTTCCATACTTCTGATTCAATAAGAAGTGGTATTACAAAATATACTAACATTACATTCAAATGTCGATATGTTCAATTAGTTCACAAAGATGATCCCATTGCACAGAACTTTGTTTCTCAGTATGAATCATGATGCTGTATCTCTTTCATTTTAATATGTTTCTATTTTTCTCTCTCTTGTTTTTTTTATGGGGGGAGGGGGCTGGTATGTCTCACACTTTCAGAATTAATGAGCTGATGTTTGGAATGCAATTACAGAAGACTACTATTAAAACAATTAATATTCGTTGATGAAGTGACTGCCATGAAAGAATAAAATATCAGTCCACAGCTGCATTTCCAATTTTAGTAAATCTGACATCACTACAAATGCCTTCTATGGCATTCCATGGACAGCATCATATGGATGATCAATTTTCAAGCATACTATACAATGTAACTTAAATAATAAGAAATAATTTGATGTGGTAGCCTTGTTTCTGTGCTTTAACAGAAGCAACATACAAGCTCGCTGGCTGCACAGCATCAGTTATATTTAGTTAGTACCGCTAAATTTCAGTCTTAAGTAATAACAGGCAACTGCCTATAGTGCATATGGAACATATTCTAATAGTCTGAATAATTTTCCTATTCTTCTTCTTGAAAAATTCTTCAAGATTATGTCTTTGAGACATGATGAATATCCAAATTAGTAGTTCACACTTTCGTGTTCTGAATTTCTGATAAATGTAGTTCATTGGTATAACTAATTTCTCTTTCGTCTGTTTGAAGTTACCATGTGCCCCCTTAAATATAAGAATCAGAAATCTCTACACTTAATGGTCTTTTTGTGTGCACAGCTTAAAAAGAAAATCAGATTCTATGGCAATAACTTCACATAATAATATCTATTCTTAAATTTTGAACATATGTGCATATGTAAATATTTACACACATCTACATTACAATCAATCTACATTATATCCATATTTAACAATTCTGGAAGTTATGCTGTGCATATTTAATCATTCCATTTCTACGAAATAAAAATATTTTATTCATTAAAAATAATATTCTGATGGTAAAATAAATCTAGTTAAGTTTATTACCTGAGAATGACCATAACGTGAAGGAGGCTGAACTGGTGACGTGGCTTGTTTCTGCCATTTAAATGTTTTTAGGTCTAATGTCCATATGTCATTGGAACTAATTAAAAAAAATAATTTATGATGAGACACTAGCTTAATGAAAAGTGGCAATATATTTACAAATTATTTTAAAAAAGCTTTCTTCAAATTCTGAATGCCATCTAAAATAATGTTTTATATATTTTATCAACAATTGCCTACATAGTGAGATAAGTGATACAAACATAGCACAAAAGATCACACCAGAAAAATTCAGCATAATTCTAATAAAAAAATCATTAGTCATACACCAAAACATAAAAGCAAAAATGCATAAAATAAAGTAATGCCAAGCTACTAATATTCATCCCTACCTGGAATGTAAGTCTTAAACTGGGCTCACTCTTTATAGATTAGCTGTTTTTTAGGCTACTTAATGGTTTGCAAAATGTTATCAGTTTTGCTTGTACCTCCAACTGGGATACCCTAAATATTGAAAAGATAACTCAACTTTCAGTTCATTTAGATGACTGTTTTAGATGGGATAGATATCTGATTAAAACTTTTTCCATCTTCCTAAATCTCCTTTAATTTTTATCTGCAGGCTTGTCCCTTATTAAATTTTTCTGCATCCAAATTCCCTAACTCAGAGTTTTTCTTTAATTCTTAAAAAGAAAATAAATTATCTACTCTGACTGGAATATTATGGAATTTTTTGTAAGTGATCCCAACATGCTAATTCTTTTACAGCAATGAAAATTAAACTATCTATTCCAACAGTTCTTATTTTTACAGTTTAACCTATTTTAGTAGAGAGTTGTAATGTCCGAATAGCTTTCTGGTGTATTTTTTAACAGTGTTGAAAGAGAAGAGCTATGAATCAGGATTTAAATCAGGACATCAATATGATAAAAGTATATATGCACCTACCTAATGTGTGACCTAACTATATGCATACTATGGACCTGCCCCTTGCTCAGTAACTCTCACTAATTTAAGTTTATTTTTAATTATTCATATCAATTATAGCACTTGCAAACAATATTTTTTCCCATATGTTAAATTCATTCAAAATAAACACATTCTCCCCTAGTCACACATTTATTTCAGAACTACAGGAGTATATATAGACCCATAAATTTAATATATATTTCTTTATTATCATGGTCATAATGGCATCAAGATAAAGGACTTCTGTAATGCAATTCATTAATTATGAAAGTGTAAGGCATAATTAATGAGCTTCTGTAATGCAGCTGCTAATCTTAAAAACCTAAATTTATTATCGCTGAATGAACTGTGCCAAAATAGCAATCTTACTCAGAGCTGTTCACATGATGGATGGACCATGCATCAGAACTGCCAGTCATTTGGTGACAGTTTGTAACATACTTTGGCAACATTTAAATAACAGAAACTATAATAAGGAAGTATTAATAAATACATCAGACCATTTTTCACAATCTCTTTCTTACCATTGCATCAACAGCATTATTACCCATTTCCTTCACTTTTTTTTTTTTTTTTGTATGAAAAAGCTCTGATTGTGACTTCTCAACATCTCATATAAAACAAAGGCCCTGGGAAATATATATGGAATGTTATCTTTCTTATCAAAATAGCCCTGCTGTACTCTTTGAAATATTTGATCATGTTGTGTGCATAATGATATGGAGTTAGGTCCAATAGATATTGACATGTCCCTTATATTTCCGTTCAACACATTTGTCCAATTTAGCAAAAAATTTAGTGACATAAGCAAGTAGTATCACTGCTTATTTTCTTTTCCAATAAAAAACACAGAAATACAAGATTTTGGAAGGTGCACCGGACACAGAATTTCAGTTCAAATATTCTTCCATCCTCTCTGTGGTGTAATCTGAAAATAGTTTTCATATTCCATCTTAAAGACTTAATTACCAGAATTCAATAGAGTTTCAGTACTTTTATAATAATTTTTAGGGTTACTTAGAATTTCTAATATTTCCAAAATTGAATGCAATGAATTTTAAATTAATGGCCATGAAGTATTATGCTAAAAATATAAATTTTTTGAGGGGGAGGATCAAATTTACAGAGGCACATTACCCTTGTTTTCAGTAGGCTTTTGTTTTTCAAAAATTGAACAGTGACATTATTTTTCTTCATGAATGTGGATTCATCACATTATTATATTGTGTCATTACAATGAGTTTATTTATAATGAAGATAAGGTTGCACTCGCTATACTTTGTTATTGGGAAAAAAAAAATTTGCAGATGAGACTGAATTTTATCCAGAAAAGAAAATCTTACAAAAGGAAAAATATTTGCAGGAGATTAAGAATGATACACTATATACAATACAAAGTCGGAGATCTGGACGTCCAATATCCGGAATGATCTAAAATTCAGATACAAAGCCACCACCAATTTTTAGTCCAAAGGGGCTTTGTCTCTGAAGGACTATTGTTTTCGTTTTACAATTTTGCGTTGAAAACTTTAAAAGGCTATATCACTTTTCAAATCATTGCCACCAAACACTTATTGTCTTGTATTATATTTGAAGAAATTAGATAATGAATCTGCATAAATGTACATATGTTTCTCGCATTGTGATACAACAACGATACTTAGAGCCATCCAGTTTTGAATGACATAATCCTACTGCGAATATGGGTATCTGAAAGCCCAAATTTGAAATTTGGAATTTGTTTTATTATCGACTTCATATTTTGTTAAACTTTAATTAATTTTTGATTAATAAACTCAATAATTTAAAAGTGGGCAATGGCAACAATATACAAAAGGAAAAAAACCTTTTTATCTCCAGCACGCGGAACTGTGTATCGGAAATTTTAAAGATATGCTCATTTTAAAATTATTTTGTGACACAGCTGTTGAATTGAATTTTATGGTTTAAATGCAAAGAACATAATATTTAATAAATAAAGGTAACATACAAAACATTAAAAAACTGCCCTTTTGGACGTAATTTAAAATCTGAAACTTTTTAGATTTTTTTTTGGTATGCTTTATGCATGCGCATTTGTTTTCCCCCTCTGCACATAATGAAACATGTGGAGAGTCCCGATTCTTAATTTCACTTCGGCACTAAATAAAATACCCCGTTATTGAAGAAACAATCATTTTAGCATAAATTTGTATGATCAATAATTTGGCTCTGTTGCTATGCATCAGCTTGGTATACATCAAACCGAAACATTCTACATAGATACATTGTTGATTTACACCTAGTAATATTTCATATCCCTGACACCAACCTGGCGAATCATTATTTATTATACTTTGCTTTCATCATCACATATTTATCAACACATGAAAACTTGAGTAATGATGCATGCAGCCATGTCTAAACATTTCTTTTTTTTAAATATTAGTAATTGAATAACAAAGTGCATGGTAAGTTTTTACGTTGACATTATGCTTGGCAATGATTACAGATGTAAGTTAAGTGTGCTAAGAAATGTTCATGAGGAAAAATTTATCAAAAAATTCTGTCCATATGCTAAAAATAGATTTTATGAATTTAATATATATTTCAATGCTCAATGCAATATAATGATACTCATAGGCCAAAAGATTACATTTAGTGCTATTTGAATTAAGAGAATAACTGATTTGTTATTCACATAAACCCAGAACCAGTGCTACGGTTCGTATAGCCACACAGGGTGGCAGAATTTAGGGAAGGCAAAGGGAAGCGCTTGGTAGGAGAATTTAGGAACCATAGAGACAGCATCAGGCTCTAGTGTCAGCCCTCAAAAAGCCTTAAGTACATGTGGGAATTTATTTATTCAGGATTCAGATAAGCTTTAAGCCTCTGCAAGAAATAAACATAAGTATAATAAATAACTGAACTAATACAATTCAGGCTTAAATGACTCAGTGCGGATAGAAGCTATTTAAAATTTGGAGGAACTTGTCATTAATCGCCAATCTCATGATACATAGCCAAATATGTATACTGAACGACAGCTAAATTTTATGATGATAGCCGCAAATTTTAAAAGTTTTCGGAAATCACAAATCAAAGGTGAAATTTTCCAATTAATGGATTTTGTAAAGAAATGTGGAGAAGCGATAATAAATGAAAATAATATAAAAGAAGTTTTTCATTGTGATGACAATGCTCCTCAATCATCAATCAATTAATGGATGGCAAAATCTGTAGTATGGTTCTAGATTCAGAAAATACGACTACCAATAGTGAAGAAAGGACAGAGAGGTTACTGAAAACAAAATTTCAGTTTACAAGTTAGTCGGAATTCTTGACACGGCAATTACAGGACCTTCAACAATGTAATTAAGAAAGAAATTATGTCTGTCTACAGAATTAAAGAGAAAGTATTAGCACAAAAATGAAGCAACTTAAACAACTTACATTGAAAGAAATGTTTAATAAAGTAAACAAATAAATAATATGCTTCTTTTTTTGTAAATTTTGATACCCTTTAGATCATAAATCACGATTTCATATTTTTAATTTTATGATTTCTACATGCCATCTTACTAGTTTTAAATTAATAAACTAATAACCGGAAAAATCCCAAATTTGGAATCGCGGGCGGAAGTCCTGACGAGTCTGGATCTCAGACTTTGTCTGTATTAAGTTTAAATGTATACAAACAGTTTTAATGTGTTTATGTATTAAAAATTGTCAATACACCTTGAGTAAATTAAATAAGCAGTAATTTATTTTTGAAGGGAAAAAAGGACAATTTCTTAACATTAAAAAAATTTCCAAGAAATATATATATATATATATATATATATTAAAAAAAAAAAAAAAGGCATAACACAAAACATTTTACCTTATTAGAAAAGTAAGAATACATTGCACAAAAAATTTAATAACTACCTCAGAAATGGACCATCGCTTATCTGCCTTTGGATTCCGCCAAATACTACCATTAAATCACCATGAACAGTTGCAGAATGCCCAGCCATGGGAGGGCATACAGTAACTGAGGTAACTTGAGTCCAACGATTTGTATTAATATTATAAAGATGAATCTGATTGAAAACCCTCCATACCTGCCACAAAATAAATATTTTCATATTACAAACATATATCATATCTTTACTACAGACAAAGAAAATAACAATTTAGTTATCTTCCTCCTTACTGGATATAGGTAAAAAATGGTTTTTCAGAGTAATGTATTTCAGCATTTCACTTAAAAACAGAAATTATTATGTAAAAACATTGAAAATAAAACAGTTTCATGTTAAAAAAACAAGAAAAATATTTATTTCTTAAAAATATGAATGAAATCTCTCTCTCAGCAATAACACATTTATAGAATATTCCTTCTATTCTAAATCACACTTTTTTCAGGATATACATATTGTTAAAAAGGAATGTTTTAAAATCATAATTTTTAAAAATTAAAGTGACTTGTTATTCTGGAGTAATTCCTTTTTAAAAAGTACTAATTTAAATTTGACAACACCATCATTCTAATCATAACTAATTCAAAATTATAACTAATATAAATTCACTAACACTGTTATTATTAATAAATCAATTATTATCCAAAAAATTATTTCTCAGATATATTTTAACATTTCATTTTATTTATTCTCTTTTATAAGAGGCATGATTGACATGATTCAGGGTACTGAAATAACAGACTGCATCTTGGAATAAAACAAAATCTAGTTATTTGGCAAATATATAAATAAACATCAAAATATCAATAAAAAATTACTTTGAAGTATTTACAATATATAAACTGAAAACTAATATTTTTTTTCAGATTTAATATAAAAAATATTCCACCAATAAACTACCTGATGTAATGGATATGGTGCAGTATGAGTCCAGCCTCCAAATAAAATTAGGTTTTCACCATGGTTTACAAGTGTTGCACATGCTTTTGGAGGAGGATAAGTTCCTAAAATATACCATATATAAGAAAAACCTTTATAGTATAATTAGTAAGAAAAATGCAAGTCTCTTAATAATATAAAAAATTAATAAATATCAAAATAATGTTTAATCAAATAATCCTACTTCTTGCAACCCTTTTTTTGTAAGTACACTTTAAAAAGGTATAATTTTTGTCACATAGTAGACAAAAATCTTGCTCATTACAATGGAACATCAAAAACACGAAAGGAAGCTGTTGCTAATTAATAGGGCATGTCTCAGCTATCTTATGGAATTCCATTAAATTCTCTATTATTCAAATGCATGGTCCAACATTTGTCTTTTTTTGATTTTGTCCACATTTAGAAAATATGAGTTTGTGATCATTACAGATGTACAAAGCATATGTAAACAAGTATGCTCAAGAATATGATTAAGTTCACATTCTAGAGAAGAACAATATGAATGGTGAGATTGCAATACTTTATTTTTACAAAGTAACATATACTAGAATTAAGTGTCCAAGTTTTAGATGAAAAACATGACTTGGCAACTCCAGTTTGGTGGTGGTTTCCCCCCTTTATTATTATTATTTATTTAACTGATGAAACACTTTTTGGAACAGCAGATTTGGACGTTACTAAAATGGATACTTGCATACTTGTCGTCAATCATGAAAGTTGGTACAGATACTATCAAACTTGCATAAATTATTCCACCAAGTTTCAACAAATAAATGTGTCTTTATATAATTAAATAGTCAATATATACAAGTTACTGATATAGCATATGACCTTAAACTTGACCCAATCATTTTAGTCAAAATTTATAATGAACAAATTTCTAATGTTACAAAATCTACAAAATTCGGGTAATATACAGTACCTGCCAGTTATTAAAATCATTTGTTTCAAACATATTTGAGTTTACTAATTCAGAAGTCAAACAACAAAAATCAACGTTATATTTTCAAATTTTCACAGGACTAGTTTCGATGGTTTTACAGAACCACCATCCTCAGCTGCAAAAGCGCATTTGCGTTTTTCAGAATAAAAACAATATTTTCAAAAGCAATTTCTAACTGCATTTTGGGAGACTGCTACCCATGCATTGATTACAATATGCATAGCCCACATCAAAGATATTGACTTAGTTATCTCCTTCAAAGTGCTTGTATTTTCACATAATTCAATTTTTTTTTTTTTTTTTTTTTTTAAAGCAACACGTTTTCTGAAACGACATTTGAAAGCTTTTATAATACCTTGGTCTAAAGGGTGAATGACAGAAGTCATATTTGCAGAAAGAAATACTAACTGAATGTTTTTCAAAATGATAGAGTGGTTCGCAGGGCAGTTATCTAACATGCTATTTCTTCATTTTTTAGTTTTTTGTCTGATTTAAAAAAGAAGTCAGTAAAAATAGTGCTCATCATCCAGGAGTTCTCATTATTACGGTACATTAAAAGTAAAGATTTGACTCCTTTTAAACATCAAGGCTTGCTACGTTTTCCAATAACCAATGGTGTCTTCATAATTGTTGCACATATATTGCACATTAATAACACGGTAACTCATTCTTTTAATTTCCTAAAACCGACTGAAGTCTCGACTCCTTTTAAAGCAAGATTTCCTACTTTTTCCAAGAACCAATTGTATCTTCTTAAGTTTTGCATCTATATTGCACTTAGTAACACAATAATTCATTCGTTTAATCTCTTAAAATCATCTGCTATTTCATTCTATATGTGCTCTACCAATGTTCAATAAAACAGACCAGTTTCATCTGTGTTATAAATTTTGAGTGGCTTGTATTCTTTTAGAACCCCAAATAAATGTTTTTTATCCAGTTATCAACCAAATGATGATCTGTCGCTTGCTTCTCACCAATGATCCATCAATTGGTAGAAAAGTTTTTTCTTAACATTTTAGCAAATTCTACAGCTTTTGTGGTCAAAAGTGCACTAGAAATTGGAAAATTTTTTTTTTACCCTTATAGCTTGAAACCATTCTGGGACAGTGGTTTCAATGTCTTTCGATTTTTAATCCCCTTTGCACTTCCTTGAGATATTAGCATTTTTTTCTAATTCTTTATCAAATCCACTTTTAAATGTCGCTTCTCAATAGCTGTATTTACCAAATGTATCATAATCAGCAACCATCTTTCAGTAACTTATCCTTTTCTTTCAAGCTTAAATCATTTCATTTAGGTATTTTCGACATGTTACAAGTCACATATATAGTAAATAAAAAATGTTTCTTTCAGGGTTCGTACACATTTCTGAACACGGAAATTAAGTACTTTTAAGGACTATTAATGAAAAAAATTAAGATCCTATGGGCAAATGGGAACTGATTAACTTCAATTACAAATATTATCTATGCCTGAATTTCACTTTTGTAATACCATAATAAAAATTAAATTTATCTGTAAGTAGGCTGCATTATTATTAAACATAAATTAATTAACATAATCATTAATAAGTTTGCAAATAAGTAAACTTTATGAAATTTATCAAATAGCATTAAATATTTTATAATAGTTGGACATGTTTGAAAGAAGATAAGTAACATTTTATTTTCATTTTACTAACAATTGTCTTTATACTGATTTTTGTTGTCTCAATTTTTCACAAACTTTCTCAGTCTAGAGGTTTAACCTTTCATCATGCGCATATGCACAAAATTTACGACAAATTCTGTTTTTAATGCACATTTTTCACATATCAAAGCTGAGACGGCTAAAGGTCATTTCCATTCCTCCTTTCTACCCTTCCCTACATCATGGAATGCACCATTCCCTACATCATGGAAGTCATTTGACTTTTTTTTTTTTTTTACTGGGCTTTTGTGCTAAGTGGCAACATTTTCATAAAAGTTACATATCGCGCGTGGTCGTGTTTTAAAAAGCGGAAAATATTTTTTTATCAAATATTTTGTAATTTTGTGTTACTAATTGCCATGTATTATTTTAATTTGTATACATTTGGCTCTGTAAATTTTATACCAGTTTTCATGGTAAAAAAAAATGTGCAACCAGCAGATTTTGCTCGGATTCTTCAAGAATTATCTGATGAAGAAAAGGAAACCTTCGGATGGGAGAATAATAGCGATTTCCATTCCTTATTTTCATTTATTTCTATTTTTTAGAAATAAATAAAAACATTAAAGTTAGTTTAAAGTGCGTTTTTGTAACCAGTAAGAAGTAAATTTCCTTGCAGAAGTAAGTAATGCTAAACTTACTTTTTTACTACCAAGGTAAGGTGTTTTCCTTTTTTATTGTCTATACTTGTCTTTGATGACTATTAAAATTAGCTTCGATTTTAAAATAGAATTATTAAATAATAAATTTAAAATTTTCGATAGTGAAATACATCATTGCATTTCCATCTTACCAACATAAGAACTTATAAATAATTTACATATATATGAATGTGATATAATTTGTATTTTCCAATAATAAGGTTAATATTTTATTTCTTACTAAATTTAGTATCAATATTCACTCATTTCTGTCGATTTTCCTGCCAAAAACGGTAAAATAACAGATGTCGTAAAAATATGACGAGTGAGTGCTCATGTCAAATTGCCAAGCGCGCATGCTGGAAGGTTAATAAATAGCAGTTAGATTTTTATGTTAAGTGGCATAGGTTAAAATGAAAAGTAAAACCAAAATCAGCATGATTCATAACAAAAGACTGCCTGCTGTCACCACTGCTGCTTGCCTATAGAGATCTGTTGATCAGAACAAACCTGAAAGGCCTGTTGTAGGCACGGTTTTGAAGTTTTGAAAGTTAGTTGAGCTCTGTCTGACACCGTTACTGTCATAGCATCGTGTAAAGTTCCAGGGCTTGCAATCCAGTTAATATACTTTAAGGTTCCAATAAGCAGTTAAAGCAACGGAGGTGATGAAATGTTTTTCATTATCTAAATCTCACTAAATACGAAGAATAAGTTTTACGTGAATTCTTACAATTTTATGTTTTATCTTGTGACCACCGTAAGGATTAATGAAAGGCAATAACTTGCTTTAATGTGCATAGATAATTTTTAAGAATAAGTAGTTAGTTATAAATAACTAAATTATGTAGTTAGATAATCTTAGTTATTATGGATTTACAGGGCCATTATTAAATTAATTTATTTTTAACAATATTTGTTAAAAAAAGCACTATTAAAATCACAATCTAATAAAATTTAAAAGCTTAAAATACATGTAATTTGTGACGTTGATTCCTAAACGCTATTAGAATAATTACACATTAAAAGCTACAAAACATAAATGTTTTGTAGCAACAACACTCAACAAATATTTACGCGTCTCTTTTAATTTGAAGCCTTCCCAGACATTTTAGCTTATTTATATTTATTTCCTTTTCTTTAAGCACCTTTTCTAACAGTTAAAATTGGTTTCAAGACGCAAACCAATGTTCTCACTAGTTTCTGCATGCTTTATCTCCTAACTTGTCAACCTCTCCACAATGTACTTATGAGGGTTTACTTGATATGGTAAAAGTTAAGAGACCGAAACTCCCCGATAGAGCTGAAGCAAATTACAGCATGCCTGAAAGTGACTACAATGTCAGACAAAGGTTTTAATAAGCCTCTTATTTAAAAAGAACTTAGAACATAAAGCCATGTTCTGATGCTAACAAAATCAATTACAGTACACTCCCGATTATCCGCGGAACTGGGTGTAATGGCCGCCGCGGATAACAAAAATCGCGGATAATCCGAAAAAAGCTAAAAACGGGTATAGCAAAAGAAAAAAACAGTCTTTCCAACTTTGAAAAATCATTTTATGTACAATAAAACGTAAAATAAACAGCAAGAAATGTTTAACTAACGCTTAATATTTTACTATATCACTCAAAACTAACCTAAAATGCATTTTGTTAATGAAAACAGAAAAGTGCTTTGTATACTTACGAGAGGCGTTAAGGATACACAGAAAAATTAATACGTATGTACTGTTTTAATACTGTAATGTATTATGTAATTACAAAAGCATAACTGTAAAACTACTGTC